TAAATCTATTTTTTATACTGCAGTCCAACATCATTGAATAACAATAATAAAATGTCTTGGTTTCCAGCAGTGGTGTAACCTTAAATGCTATCTTTTCAGCGCTAGGACTTCAAATCTTGATGTGTTTCATTGCGCTACATTTTGTTTGTTGTTTTTTTTTGTCTGAAGCTACAACAAAGCTTTTTCTGTTACAATGTTTTTGATTAAATGCCCAAAACCCAGGAGCAACTTCTGAGGTACTAAAAATGATGCCTCTGGCACCAATGATCAGACCACTAAAAGTCATTGAACTCGATCCTTTTTAAACTCTTAACAATCAAGAAAACACTGAATCCCTCAATGTGTATGGGCCAATCAGAGCTTACCATCTGTGTGCGCTCTTGTGAGTGGTGTATGTGTGTGATGAGCCCATTAAGCTAATGAGTTTATGTACCATGAGACTTTCCTAAATGTGGGAGAAAGGTGGAATTCACAGCATGTTCGTGGGTGTGAAGTCATGAGCAGTTCAAAAGAACACAGAGTACAATGAGCTGGTGTGTGCTATTTACAACCAGCTACACTAATGTCAACACTGTGACATGTTAGATTAAGACTCACTTTGAATGAAAGGGATTGTAGACATTCTTTAAGATGCATGTCCACCTGTGACAGCATGTAAGTATGGTCCTTCACACATTCACAAGGCCTCATTCAGTGCAAGAACACTTTTCTCTTCATTGTATTGGTAGCGGCCAGTTTGGTCTCTCACAACAAATAAGGTATGTAAAATGGAGTAGTATACTGATCTCTGTAAAGCAAAGGGTTTAAAAGTGTTGGCTGAAAAAAACAACAACAAAAATCTCATCAATGGTAAAGGTGACAAGTATGAAGCAAAGTGTGAACGTAGAGTCTTCACACGAGTATAGTGGAGCAGGGGACAGGGCCTGAGCAGGGCAGGCGGCGGCTGATGCATGCGGGGAGATGGTGATGATGAGAACAGACACGAGCCACATGAGGCCCCCTGACAATGCAGGAGTCCCCTGCGGTATGTCCAGCAGTCGACTTATGCACGCACACACACACACACACACACACAGATGCAGAAATGCACGCATGCACATAAGCACGCAATTTTAACACTACTACGCTGACTTTGTATAATAAGAATATTAAATAAAAAATTGTAACACATACATGTAAAATGAAAAGGAAAACATTTATAAAATCTGAAACATTTTTGCTCATTTTTTTTTCACTGTCAATGGCGCCCATTATTTTTTCTGATATGTAATGATATCACCCCCTCTAGTGGTGTTGTGTTTTAAAGCAGTTATCACTGGAAGCCTGCATTGCAACTGTATACACGCATGTACAGTGTTTTGTGTGTAAAAAATAACCATTACTACACACTAATATTTCTTTTGTTTGGCTGCTGAATGGGTAGACAGCAGTACAGTGAAGTTTGTTGGATAAACCAGACTTAAATCCAAACCGTGTGGGGGAAGTTTTATACACAATTCATTTTGGCAGGAAAAAACATCCCAAATTTGGTTAGGCACCGTTTGTGGAACCATGCTGGCTATTCCACACATGCTGTGGACACCAGAAGTCATTCCCAGTTTGCCTCACCAACACACCACTGGTCCCCCTCCACCATGAGGGTGCCTTTAAAACGATATGCCTTCTGGGGTGTTCTTTTATGGGCTGTGGTTGCACCATTGACTATTGTATAATTCTCTTCGAATCAGTTTGTTCCCCCTTCCTCCCCCTTTCTTTAGCCCACCCCTGACTTAACAACCAGAAAAAGGTCACATTTCTGAGAAGTGACTTCCATGCATGTTCCATGCTGGGTCGTCACTTTCAATTTCCTAAGACCTTTCATGTCACACACCCATCAACCCAGAAAATGGCAAACACACTACTACACGCTACTATGTGCACCATTTTCATGGTGATGGTGATGTATATATTAGAATACTGTTATGTGATATATTGTGATATATAAGCAGTCCCTATGATTTGACTACGTTTAGGTATTTATGTCAGTGTGTTGAATTACTCCAAAAAAGACATTGACATTGTTGCAGCTGCAGCTTTTGGCTTTATTTCAACACCATCAGATCACCAGATATACAATACAATATGTAATATGTTTGAGGTGAATAGAGAAGTAAAAGTTGTTGATGCGGTTCTTTTTTAATATTTATAGTTGAAATCTCGACATGGGTTTACATTGACTATTTTGGGCAGTGAAAACGCAAAGGGAATGCATGAGCAGAAGCGATCATCTCCTTCTTTCCATGCCCTCCTGTGCTCCTTCAGTATTTAACAGTGAGAGACCCCTAGGACACCTAGTGAGTGCTCAACAAACGACTGTCCTTTCCCTTTCCAGCACACTGTTCAGATGGTACGAGATGTTTAACTCTGCTCACAAAATTAATGGAGCATGAAATGTAGGCCTGAAGTGCAGCAGGCTCCTAACCTGCAGGTGACGTTGTCTACATGAAGCGCTTATTGTGACCTAAGTGAGCTGTATTATAACCGCATTTGACTGGTGACAATTAGTGACCTTTTGCCTATCCAGTAGCCATCCATTTCAATTACACCAACCTGGAAAGCTTTGGTGGGTGAGCAAGATGAGATATTGTAGCCTGTGTGCTTCTACTGTACTTGTATTGTTAGCTTGGTCATTGTACTGTACTTGAACGTGTGTTGTATCATATTTGCATTTCGATTGAGGTCATTATGTTGTGCCTTTTTTTTTTTTACTTTGAAGGGTCATGCCAGTGTGAACTGTGCTGAGCAAACAATCTTTTCTTTAAAATATCAGCTGATGAGTTTTTTCTTTGTCTGTTAGTGGCTAAGTTAGTGGCTATCACTGTCTACTATAAGTTGTGAGAATTTGCAAACTGAGTCGGTTTTGTTTGCTGAAGTGAAGTTGCTGCATTGTCCTTTGCTGAAGCAAGCTTACATTGCCACATTTATACCAGCATAAGTATTCTCAGAATCTAACACCATGTTTTTTTTCAGTTTACATTGTTCACTTGTTTTTAATCTTTTTGGGGGGTTGGTGGTTGAGATATATGTAGATGTGACATTCTTCAAACTGTTAGTGATTCATCCACACATCACAGGATTGTGACAGTTTTTTACAAGCACCAGCAATACTTGAGCTTCCTTCTCTATCTCCCATCAGCTCCACCTCAGGCCTGCCTGCCTTCACCTCAGCTACACAGAGCACAAACTTGAGAAACCTCAAGAGGCAGGAACGAATTATAAAACCTCACACTCTATCACTTCACACATCTAACCTTTCTCAAAAACATGCTGCACCCACTGCAAGTAGTAGTGCAAATACATGCACTGTTCAATTAAACTGTAGCCACACATATCACATGTCACACTACAGATGCTTTTGTCCAAAGTGACATACAGTTTGTGCATTTAACCTCTATGGGAGCAAGAGTTAGGTATAACCATATGTGTGTGCACATTTTACACAGCAAACACGTTGAAATGGATACTTCATGCATGCAGAGAAGCAATTAATACAATCAGTATCACTATTGCTCTCTCTCTCTCTGTACCTATTTCTCTCTCACACACACAAGCACTTTGTAGCTCTCCTGGGCAGCTGTGGCTCAGAAGGTAGAGCAGTTTGCCCATTATTAGGAAGATTGGTGGTTTGATCACCCAGCTCTTCCAGTCTGCATGTCGAAGTGTCCTTGGGCAAGATACTGAACCCCAAATTGCTCCGATGGCTTTTCCATCTTCCATATGTGTGTGAATGGTAGTTTCTGTTCTGAGCAGTTAGTCTCAATGTGTGTGAAAGGGTGAATGTGACGTAGTGTAACAGTGCTTTGAGTGGTCAGAAAGACTAGAACGGTGACATACAAGTACAGACCATTAGTATTAACCACATTATGGGGATTCATCTTCTTCGATGCTTACCTTTGTTGTGGGAGACCTGGGTTCGATTCCCACTGTGAGACGTCCACCATTGTGTCCCTGAGCAAGACACTTAAGCCCTAGTTGCTCCAGAGGTGTGTGACCTCTGACATGTATAGAAATTGTAAGTTGCTTTGGATTAAGGTGTCAGCTAAATTAATAAATGTAATGAAAATGTATTTGGAAAACCCCCCCCACAAAGTTAATATTTAGTGTTAAGAGCTGGCTTCTGGTTAGTGCAGAGTTGTGGCTAGTAAGAGGATTACATGGCTATGTGTTGGTTTACATGTTAGCCAGTGCTTATTATGAAAAATGGTGTCAGCTACAGCATCAAATGTGACAACATGCAAATGTACATGTTCATCTTGCGTACAGGGTCGCTGGAGCCAATCCCAGCTGACATCAGGCAAAAGGCAGGGTACACAAGAGCAAACCCACAGAAACTAGAACATGCAAACTCCACACAGAAAGGTCAGGACAACTGGGGTTCAAACCCACAACCTTCTTACTGGGAGGCAGCAGTGCTAACCACTGCACCACCACACTACCACAAAGGTGCATGTAATAAATTTAAATATAGGAGCTTTCACAGTGGTTAGTGCAATCAAAAATCCTTTGCAGGTGACAAGTTAATAATTAGTCAGAGCCAAAAGGAAGCAAATGCTTCATGAAGAAAAAGACAAAAAACATGATATATATATATATATATATATATATATATATATATATATATATATATATATATATATATATATATATATATATATATATATTATATGTAATAAAATAGCACAAAGACATTAAAACAATGCAAGACGGTGTTTTCTAAAATGTGTATTTTCTATGCTTATTTAATTAACATACTTCAAACTTTTAAAGTTGAGGGGACTATAAATCACATTTGTTTCAAAACTGTCAATGAAATGTTGTCAACCAACTACTGGGGCTTACAGGATGAAAATGTTTGACTGACATGTGATGTCAAAAAGGAGAGGTGGGATTTGAACACTGCATACAACCCTTTCTTAGATATAGATAAAGAGTATCGCAACTGAATTTACAATCACAACCAACAGACTCAGGAGTCTTAACAGTAAATTGGGAACTCTTTGGAACCCTGTCTCTTGTAAGTACCCTATTCTATGATTGCCTTTATCAATGGCTGAGGTGTTTCTTGTCCCTTTGCTTATACACACTTCACTCCTGTAATGATTTATGATTTGTGATCCTTTTCTCAAAATGACAGGTGGGATGGATGTTAAAAATATCACCCTGGACTCAGCCGAAAACTTTCCAAACCAGAGCAGCTGTGATGTGTTTGTCTACCAAAGAGCTGCAGTCGTCCTCTTCCCTATTTTCTACTCTGTGGTTTTCATCATCAGTGCATGCGGCAACAGCTTGGTACTCTATGTGATCTGCCAGAAGAAGCAGAAGTTCAACTCCACCTCAATCTATCTGGTCAACTTAGCACTATCTGATACCTTGTTCACACTGACGCTGCCTGGAAGAATAACTTACTACATCCGTCACTTTGACTGGCCCTTTGGTGACATTCTCTGCAGAATGACCACACTTCTCTTCTTTGCAAATACCTATGCAGGTAATATTAATGCTTCTGTTGCCAATACACTTCATGTAACTTTATTTTTCCATTCTAAACTATATGTGAAATACGTCAACATGGGACAACAAAACAGTGTGAGCTTAAGAGTGAACTTGCATCAAACAATCCTGTTGACCAAAATTTATCAGAATAGAAATGAGATGCCGAAAAACCAATTTGGGCGAAATTCAAGATCAGTTCATTTTCCCATTCTGCTCTGTGTTTTCAGTATAAACAGAAATGCATCTTCATTATTTTTACACCAGGTATTGGCTTTATGACCTGTATCAGTCTGGACCGATACCTAGCCATGGTGCATCCACACCGGCTGCAGTGTTTACGGAGTGTTGGGGTGGTTCGCAGGGTCTCTTGCCTGGTGTGGGCTCTGGTATCTTTGCAGACAGCTCCACTGCTGTTCCGCAGCATGCTGCGTGAGCACCAGGAAAGACAAACCTGTATGGAGTACTTCAACTTTGAAGGCTCCCGCTCCATCCCTTACTTCCTACTTCTGGCCTGTGCCATCTCCTTCTGCTGTCCGCTCATCATCATAATGGGTTGCTATGCCAAGATCAACCTGAAGCTAAGAGCTGCAGCCAAGCAGAACTCTGTAACTGGTCGATCAAGGAGGAATCACCAGGCCAACACCATTATTCTCCTCATCCTCCTCACCTTCATCATATGCTTCAGCCCTTACCACATCAATGTTATGCAGTTTATGTCCAGAAAGATACACCACCAGCCAACCTGCGAGGAACTGAGAGCCTTTAAGGTGTCCTTACAGGTAGGAACTGTGCTTGTTCATTTATTTTCAAACATTCCCCATCAATTGTTCTTTTCATATTCTGTCTTCTACCTGCAGATTACAGTTTCACTAATGAACTTCAACTGCTGCTTGGACCCAGTCATCTACTTCTTTGCCATTAAGACCTACAAGAAGCAGGTGCTGAGCCTGTTTAAAGATCTGTATACATCCGGTGCCTCCTCCAAAATGACAGCTGAGAACAGCAGCAGCAACACCTGAGAGAAACCACAGCTGTGCTTACAGGAGGTATACCCAAACCCGTTTCACAGAGAAGACCTAGTTTACTCTGTTAAACTCAAAAAGGCCTATTTTAGTCTCTTGTGTTAATGGTCTATTTGGAGATGATAAACAAGTCTTTCAGTTAAGATGCTGTGACAACTGTGCATGTTCATATGCAGTAGATATGTACACTTTTCTTTTTAAATGATGGTATGTCTCATTCTTGTTGCTTTTCTTATTAACATGCGTGTGCCATAGTTTCAGTAGTTGCATACATTAGTGTCAAAATTAACTTGGGGTAATCAGAAGTTTCTATACTAGAGGGCTCTTTGTTTGATCCTGTATGTATACAGTCTGAAGAAATGTCTTAGATAAAATAGCTAAGCTTTTTTTCCAACAATGTAAAAATTAGTGGGGTCATTATTGCACAACAGCAACTTTCACTTCCTTTGGATAGAGAAACACATTTGTGAATCAGGTCAAGTGGCAAAAAATTTGAATCTTGCAAAGTGTGTGAGTGGATGTAATTCATTTATTAATGGACACATTACGTAATGTTTGCTCTCCTACTATCAAAAACATCATTCCTATGGTCACAGTATTTCATATTTTACAATATGCAAGACTTTTTGGTATGGCAAAATGAGAACATGTCACACATATCTCTTTCACATCCACATCTGAGTTCTGTGTAGGAGTGCGTAGATGAATACCCTCACCACTTCCTCACCCACCTTTCCTGCTCCCCCTCACAGGCCTCATTCCTGCTGGGTCCCACATCTTGTATTGGGGTTGGCGTGTGTGTGTATGTGTGTATTCAAATTTAAATAGGTGCACGTTGTCTGTTTATAGTGCAAAGTCCCATGTCTAAATTTAACCTAAAACATTTCCTGGGTTTTTGGAAAAGCTGCACTATGATTTGCATATAAAGTAAGCTGTACATAGAAGAAGTGTTACACTGATTTGAATGATTATTGATGTGTTTTGATTTTATTTTGTAATTGATTTAACCTCCTCACCTTTGGTGAGAATTAATACTAGGTTGGGTTGCACAATTAAGTATTTTTGAGACAAAACGTATATGGTTTCTTCTAGAGAGGTTTGATAAATTTTGTCTCAGATCAAAGGAGCAAGAGAGTGAATTAATCTAATGAATTAAATGATGAAAAGATGAGAGATCTACCAAAACAATTGCAAAAGTAGGATGTAAAAGTAGCTCCAGCTCAATAATATTTTTTTATTGCTATTTTGACAGGTATTTTTTTAAAGCAATTGGCATTCAGTGTGTTTACGTTCTGTAATTGCTTCTCAGTAGGTCGCTAATGTAAATCAGGCTTGCAAACTTTAATAAAAAGGGAGCAGTTGTTGATATTCACAGTAATCACAGCACCATTAGCAATCATGTTGTGGCTAACTACCTGTATTATTCAGTTTCACTTACACTTGACTGCAGTACCTGTATGAAGCTGCCCTAGGTTACTTTCTGGAAAACTGTACACCTTTTGTTTAAAATATTATTGTGCAAAAAACGACCTCCACATTTTTGTATTTTTGTTTGTTTTTTTGTACTTGTGTTGTTTATCTGATTCTTGAATGTTTTATTGTGTGACTGGAAGTAAAGTTTCCCACTTGGGATAATAATAAATGAACTGAACTGGTGTGAAATCAGAATCGGAACATGTTTTGTCACTCCATTGTTGAGGTGCCCAAACATGCTATTCATTCATTCATTCATCGTTCAAACAGCATTTCATTAGGCCACAACAACAACAGTTGTGTTTCCTTTAAATAGTGTTAAGGTTCTCAATACATGTTTGTGAATGACATTAACCCAACAAGTCATCCAACCAAACCAACAACATAGATCCTTTATCACTGCCTCCCAAAATGACACATATGAGTATTAACCATTGGCTTAGTCCCTTCATTATACTACGGGATTATCTATGTTATGTAAGTCACGTGACCTGTACCACATGACTTTAAACATGTGATTACCGTTCTAAAATGGTCACAGTTTGGTTAGGTTTAGGCAACAAAACTACTTGGTTAGGTTTAGGAAAGCCTGTGTTTGGATTTAAGTAAGTAAATCACATAAGTCATGTGTCAGAAGTCACAGAAGTCAATAACAAAAGTAAAGTGACAGAAGTCAGTAACAATTCCTTTGCTACCGTTGCATGGCTACTAGAAGTCCCTGCCACAATAAACATAAATATGGTTCATAATAACGACTTGTACAAACAACCTTTATTGTTGTTTTTCTCGTGAAGACAGTCTCCCATATTCATGCCTTAACAATAGTTTATGTGGAGTAGTGGTCGAAATATAAAAAACGTTGTACTGGAGTAAAAGTACAGATACGCTTACTAAATATTACTCCACTAAAAGTAGTAGTTAAAGTCTTCAATTTATATTTCTACTTGAGTCAAAGTACAAAAGCACCTGCTTTTAAAATACTCAAGGATCAAAAGTAAAAAAGTACTATTAATACAGCTATGCTTAAGTCAGAGATTGCTGACATGACAAACTGACTTTAAAAACGACCATCAAAATAGTTGCCATTGATTCAGCTGTACTTATTTCATTTATAACAAAACATCATATTTTTTAAACTCTTCCTGTGTTTTGTGTCTTAATTTGTAAAGTAACTAATAACTGATCAGATAAATGTAATTAGTAAAAAGGACAATTTGTAATGGAGTAGAATTATAAAGTAGTATGACATAAAGTACAAATATCTCTAATTTGTACTTAAGTACAGTACTGTCCACCACTGTTTACATGTCATAACCAGAATCTTTCTCTTTCTCTTTCTCTCCTTAACTATACTGTAGTTGCAATGTGCTTTATTGTACAAAAAAGAATTTAAAAAAAACAGTGGCAATGAACATTAAAAAGATCTGGTCATTGAAAGTAGTTCAGGGATTTGCGGAATTGCCTTATGACAACATTCTAGTCGAGCAAGAAGGTTTCCACAGCTTCACACCTACCAGTATTATCTAACAGTATATGAAACTGATTGAGACCAGATCTCTGAACTAGAGGTGGTGGGGCAGTTCAGAATGGTCCATTTCCATATCAACAAAACGCCTAGCCGTATGGGAAATTGCACATGTCGTGCAAAACAACCCTAACTTCAAGAAGCATCAGATAAAACAAATAGACAAGCACCCACAAACCAGTTTTGCTTTTTAGAGAGACCAGACTTTGGTGCAGCAAGGTTCCCACCAGAAACATTCTGCTTAATGAGATTATGAGATTGTGAACCATGCGTTCTAATATTCTTGCTTTACTGAGAGTCAAATCGAAGCTGCCTTTAGTTTTTATACTCCTAGATGCTGGATGCTAACCTCCCTGAGGTCCTCAGATGTGCTCAGTCTCTTATTTCTTTTAAAAAAGGTGAATGGTTAATATTGTTAATATTATTAGTATTGTTGTCATCAGAGACGATGAGTATGAACCCTACTGGAAGGAAGAACATGACCTTGAGTGCCACTGTAACTTAGCAGAACTGTAAAAACAACAAAAATACTGAAAATAGCATTGTAGGGAAGACGAAGGATGGTTTTAACATTTTTGACATGTATGTCTGTATCTCAGAGGTCTTTCAAGAATGTGACACAAACTAGTTACATGTGTCTGCTATTAAATGTTGTAACTGTTATCTCTGCAACTCTGTGTGTTTGTGCTTTTTTGTATTGCACAGTGGACACAATGCACTCCTGGAGTGCAGGCCTCACGGGCCCACAGAGAAGCCTACAGGTCTTACATTAACATTTGAACATAATAATAAAACATGTAAACATTACTTCAAACATATAAATACAACAAAACCTTTTCATTGCTGTTACAACTAACCCCAACTCTTTTAGCCATGAACTAGCTTACCTTACAGCTAAAACATTAGCACTAACAACTTCATCAAATATATCTACATAGACACACAATCAACATGATTTAAGTTTGATCAGTTTATAGCCAAGCTATAACAAAAATAAATTAAGTAAAAATACTTTCTTACTTCAAACAAAAAAAAAAAATCCCTCTAAAATTGGCTGTGCCTGTCACATGGCGCTCCTTTTCCCCATGTGGAATAAGGACTAAATTAAGCATGTGCAAAGGGAATCAGATGATTTGTGACTTGTTCCTTATTAGAGAAATTGGACGTGTTACAACTGGCCCGTGTTACAAGCATCCCCGGTCTTCCCCACGGTATGTAGACACCTGCTCTCTGTCCACTTCAAAGACATAGCAGCCACTTCAATCAGTAGCCTCTTTAGTTGCCTTTAAGAACAACTCAATTTTCAAATATTTCTGTTGTTAATCGCCTCCTGTGTGGATGGAATATTATTCCTGCAGATGAGAACAGTCTCTCACACAGAGCTGAAGAGGGGAGGGTTGTTGTTGTCATCAGTGGGTATCATACATGGTCCAGCCAGGTTTTGACCTAGTCCTGTTTTTATGTTTTATAAATCATGGAGAAAGCATTTTGAAAAGACAAAATTATTCCACTCACTTGTTACAAATTACATTTAAATTTTTTCAGCCTCCTCATTGGAATCTCAAAAATCAATATCTGGACACTCCCCACTGCTGAAGCCACCATACCTGTCTCCACACAGGTTAAGAGCCTTGGTGCATCCTGGACAGTACACTTTTTTTCTCCATTCATATAAACAATGTCTCCTGGATTGCCTTTTTTCTGCAAAACATTTCCAGACCATGGAACGACAAAGCACATTGTGTTTTACAAATATATAAAACTTACCTCACTTTGCCGTTTGGTATGAGTCAACTGGTTATTGATGCACACCCATTCTTGGTTGTTTGTGAGGGATTGCAACATTTCCACTTCCTTACCCTGGATAGTGTCAGTTTATGGCTTCTCATTCTGTCATCCACTACCAGCTTTTCTCACTGGTAGTCGTTGCATTGCCTGCCAAACCATTGCTCTTCTACTCTTCAATGAGAGGCATGCTAGAGACACGATTTAGGAATTTAGTTTAGTTAGTTCCCATTTTATTTTGTAATCCTCACCTATCCTCTCTTGTCAGTTACTTTACTTCTTGCCTTTTGATGTTTTCCCACCAGGTTTCTTTGTCTGCCCCACCCAGATTAGTTTCACCTGTGTCTAAATAGCCTCCCTCATGTATTTGGTCTGTGGCCCAATCTCAGTGTCCACACTCATGGACTTCGAACTGTCAAATCTTTAAGTGGTGCGAGGGCTCTCTCGTAGACATTTTGAACCCTTTATGCACTGTTTTCATAAGTCCGGGAGTGAGAATAAAATCTTGGCAAACCTTCCTTATAACACAAGAAATAAGAAGAATGGTAAACAAACAAGCATGGAAGGAGCAACCAACCTTGATTTTAACATAGTTAGAAAAAAAGTTTATATGTGAATATAAACGCAAAGCTCACTGATGGTTCATATAGCCAGAGCTGTGTGTAGTTGTCTTATGATGGCATGATGATTATTGACAAATATAGATAATTATTGACAATTAACCTCTTGTCCTCTCTGTAGGGAAAAAGTCTGCAAGACCTATAAATCAGGAAGTCAGTCCCTTAAGTGCCTTGGCCGCGAAGAAAGTAAAAAACGTAAAATAAAAAGTAGCCCACCCTAAATGGTTTGCAACATGTTTTAGCGTCATCAAGGTAAAGTGATAATGTCATAAAGTGCTGTCCCATTCCTATTTATAGCATTTTGAGCCCTGGTAGCCTCCAAATAAGTCTGTGATTCAGGGTACAGGGGGGACATTGAAACTGTGTCTGTGTGTTTTGTTGGCTCATTGCCATTCGTCATTGCCCCTGTCCCATGTGTTACGTGCATAGACTGTATAATTCCTAGCCTTTCCTTATGTTTTGTTCTCTTGGTATTTGGATCTTTGCTTTGTTTTCTTGAGAGATTTTAGATACCGCCAGCTTCCTGTTGGATTTGTTTGCCTGATTTAGACTGCCTTCTCTGGTAATGACCTCATCTCTGCAAGCTTTTGTACTTTTGCTAATTAAACCACTGAACTGAACCTCTCTGCCACTGAGTATGCATTTGGGTCCTACTCCTGCTTTCCTTGTTGCCCGGCTTGACAGTGACAGTTGGCAGTGTCCCAGTTCTGAATCCTCTGAACTGTTTATCTTAAAAGTCCTTTAAAAGATTAGATTTTAAATGCCTTAATGAAAACAAATAAAATGCAGAAATAAAGACAAATACAATACACACTGTTGTTTGTATTTGATTTTTATGTATACATTTACTGTCATAATTAAAAGAAAAACATGTTAATCGATAGTTATTTAGCCATTCTCTTTAATAACTAAATGTATTGTTTTTCCCCCGCGACCCTGTACGCAGGATAAGCGGTTGACGATGGATGGATGGATGTATTGTTTTTCATTGTGACATGAAACAAAGTGAAGAGGTGTGTTACATTTCAGTGTTGAGGAGCGGAAGACAACATAGACCTGCCAATTATAAATGTAAAGCACTGACATTAGTTTTTGCGTGGAGGTGGAAGAGTTGTTTTTCTACATGAGGGCAAGACCGCATCGCTGCTGGCAAAACGGAAAACAATTACCTGTCCAATCATAGCTTTGAGGGTGGAACTATAAGTCTAACTTGACCCTGTGATAGCCATGACAAAAATTCTTTCTGCCAGATC